TCAGTGGACTGAAGTTTCGACCTCCCATCGGTCTTATCAACACCCTCAGCGGGATTCGAACCGTGACAGTGCAGAATGTGAGATTGACACGTTAACCACTCGACCACATTGTCACGAGTGACCTTGGGTCACAGGGAAGATGTGAATTACGATGAAGTCCAGACCTTTCCCCATATCACATTCTTTGTTGGGATTGTCGATGAAGCAAACGTATATTTGCTATAAAAATCGACCATGCTACTCATTTTTCGTGGTTGAGTAGAGTTTCGAGACTACTAGTAAATCAGTATAATGAGATGTATTCACCCTATTTCGTTTAAGGTGATTAGGAATGAAATAGGATGAATGCATCTCATATTACTGATTTACTGGTAGTCTCGAAACTCTACTTACATATGAAAAAGAATGGGAAAAAGGTCTGGATTACCTCGTAAATCACATTTGCCCTGTGACACAAGGTCACTCGTGTCAATGTGGCCGAGTGGTTAACGTGTCAGGTTCACATGCTGCACTGTCGCGGTTCGACTCCCGCGAAGGGTGTTGATAAGACCAATGCGAGGTCGAAACTGCAGCCCACTGGTGCCTGGATGAGAACAACTTTAGGGAAAGCAAGGCAATGTGAAATTCAATGGAAACTTCAGCTCTACTTACGCCATTGTGAGAAAATTCTACTACCATTCCTTCTTCGCCTCAAACGAAATTGGGTGAATAAATCTTATATTATTAAGATTAGATGTCCGCCTTACGATCAAAAATAATTTGCAGTAGACTGCATATACGTGGGCTGGCTTTGGCGCTTTCAACATGGCTCATCAAATGAGTAGATTTTTGCTTTTTTTATGCGGTAGCAAGCATAGAACGGTCCAATTCGAGGTTCAAAGCAAGGCTATTTCAACAATTGTATTTGGTTAGAGTATGTCTCGAAGCTATCAGTAAATCTTGAATGAGAACTCCGTCGCATAATGTGATCAAGGATTGATATTTGTATTCTTCATACAATGCTATGAGTATGCCTCATGTTTACATTGAATTTTACTTAGCCTTGCTTTCCAAAAAGTGAACTGCAGTTTCAACTTTCCCTGGGTTCCATCAGCACAGTGGAAAGGTGTTAGATTCCAGTCCCTTTGGGTTGCTGATGTGACCGTTTTGAAGCAGGTCTAAGAAAAATTAATTATAGATACGAAGAGAAACTTGGTTTCGATGAATCTCTTGAGATAACATTGTTAGGGGGACCTTCATTT